GTATTGTTTCATAAAAGTGTTACTTAAATCAACACATATACTAATTATTTGTGTATTTTAATAATTTTAGGGTGCATTTGATTGGAGGAATTAGGGAGGGTTATTTACTGTTCGGATTGTAACCCATTGGAAGCTTTTTATCCGGCGTTTGATTTTTTTTAGTCCACCGGATATGGAGTCCGGCCAAATTCCTTATCCCCATATGTGGGATTACACTGTCCGGGGGGAGGGGGACAATTTTCATGGAATAATTTATTGTTGGGATTAGGTAGTGAAATGACCACTTTGACCCTCTACTATTTAATTATGTATTATAGTTAGTAAAATTCAATAAAATTTAAATGTCTCAATTTAAAAATAAAAGAACTTTATTTAACTTTTTATTGATGTTTTATTTATTTATTTTTTAAAAATAATTTTTTTATAGATATTTTGTTTTAAAATTTTGTTTATATTTTATTTAATTTCATTATTTAAATTTTAATAGATGTTTTATTTAATTTCATTATTTAATTATTATTATTTTTTAAAATAAATTTATTTAAATTTTAATTAAAAAAATAACACATATTTGTTGATATTTTATTTATTTAATTTAAAAAAATAAATTTATTTAATTGTGTAAAAAATAAAATAAAATAAAATTTAATTTAATCTAGCTAAAAATAATTAAAATATTAAAGATATGTTTAATATTGCTATTACGTAGTAAACAATTGAAAAATGATAAAATAGTCTTTTGCTCATTTATCCTTATCCAGTCCGTCTAACCAAACATTGGATTCACTAAAAATAATCATTTCAAACATCTAATCCCATGAGAAAACAAACACGGGATACGCATCCAATTCAACTAAATAATCCAGAGAATTCACATCCCAAGATTCAAGTCCAATGGATTCTAATATCCCCTTTATCTAGTCTGTCCAATCAAACACACCCTTAGCTCTATAGTGTTATAAAAATGTAACTTACATATAAATATATAATAAATTTCATAAAAATAAATATTTTTAATATTTAATTTTTTTTAAAGTGAAAAAAATAGAGTAAAATTAAATGGTAAAATATTTTTAGTAATTGTAAGATTAATAATAACAATGACAGTGTTTTGGCACAACACTCCCAAGAACCTCAGCTCAAAGATGGTGGTGTATCACTATGTGTTGTAGTGCAAAAGTGAGAGGAAAATGCACTTTAAGGCACAAAACAAACAGAATATATAGAGAGAATGATATATATATATGGAGAGAGATAGAGAATTTAAAGGTAAATAGTATTTTTTTTTATATTTATTTTGATTATCTTAATCCTATCGTTTTATAAAAGTCTTATTTAAATCAACACATATAATAATTTTAAATAAATTATATGTGTAATATTTTTAACTCTATCGTACTATAAAAATATAAATTAAATAAATATATATAATAATTTTAAATTATAACACAAAAAATGAAATATTCATTTGATAATTTTAACCTTTCTTACTACAAAAATGTAACTTAAATAAATATATATAATGAATTTATATGATATTAAATTATAACTTGATATTAGAAATAATTGTTATAAAATTAAAAGTGATTGTAATTATTTAAGAAATTTAATATAATTAATATTATAAATAAGATAGGCATAAAAATAAGAAATAATTCTAATATTTTTTTTTTAAAGTGAAAAAAGTAAAATCAAATTAATTGTAAAGTACTTTTAATATGTATAATTCTATTTGATTTTGTTTATGGATAATTTAGATTAAGTAGAAGTCTTTTAAATATTAAATTTTAGAAAGAATTTTGATAAAAAGATATATTGATGTGACATTTTAATAAAAATAATAATAATAAGGGGAGATGTCCCACATAGGACATAGGAGAGAGAAAAAATAAAAGTAAACACTACTTTTAATAATATATTAAAAGTAATTCTAACTATTTAATTTTCTTTTATATTAATTGAAAAATAAAAATATACAGAAATAGAAACTATATAAAATTTATTAAAAAAATTCATTCAAGAAACCACTATACCTTAACGATCTATAATTATCATATAATGATTTTATATAATATATATATATATATTAAATTATAAGATTGTAAAATAAATACTCTTAATTAAATTAAACTATCAACTATATAAAAGAAATTCAACAACGACTAATTAAGAAAAAATCATATAACAACTTCTACACCAAAAAGGAAAAAATAATGAAAACATCCAAACAATAGATATATCTCAGGATATAAAATGATTAATCATCTGTAATATGATATCAAAACATAAAAGAACTTCTTGTTCAACAATTGAAAAAGTAACTCAAGTAGTAAATCCAAACTATAGAGGTTCCTCAAAAGTATCATTGTCATGTAGGTTTTTCTTCTTGTGAATTGTGATTATATAAAAATAATGGAGGAAATTAAATATAATTTCATGTATAGAATCACTATAACATTTAAACGACAAATCCATAATATAGAATAATAAAGAATTGGTATTGGGTATAAAATAATGTACGAAAAAATAGGAGGAAAGAAAAAGGATAGTTTAACATTAAAAAAAAATTCTAATACCCTTGAAAGAATTAAGAAGAAAAACGTGAAACGCTAAACTGGTATTGGATTTGTGAATTATCTCAATTTACCATGAAAAATATATGGAAAAAAAATATTTGTCAAATAGAGTCCATATAAAATAGGTAAAATTAGTATAATTTAAATTAAGTTTGAGTTTGTGTAAAACTCTATATATAATTAAGAAAATATATGCCGACATGGTTCTCTTAAAAAAAAAAAAAAGTAATCCCTTATTATGTGCCACCTAAGCATGGGAAAAATACTATTTTTAATAATATATATATATAGCCCTTGTCATGTGCCACCTAAGCATAGGAAAAACTGTAACACTTGGTACTTCTTGAACTCATGAGATTGCTTGTGACACTCTTATTATGGTACTTGGAGCTTCTTTGGTTCATTTTGGAATATTGATTGAGGTGGTATCATAATGGTAAAATAAGATTGAACTAAAAATATTGATTCAGATAATTATCTCATGGATAATCTTCACTCTTTTGCCCTTTTCTCTTTCCACACTTTGAATTTGAATGTGATGCTAGAACCATTTGAATGTGATGCTAGAATCATTGGAAAGCTTGTCTCCAAGACTTCGATTTGGACACAAAAACGACCTAAAACGAAATTCGGACGAGATAGTTATGCCTGTTTGAAATTTGATTATTTGTGCTGGAAGCAAGTTCGTTCAAGTAAAGGAAGTTGCGTTCGAGCGGTCTGCGTGAATTTCAGAGATTCTGGGAGCTTTTTTTCTCCGCTCGAGCCAAGCTTTGTTCGCTCAAGCGGTCAAATCGATATCAGGCATTATAAATGTAATGTAATTGGTACCCGCGCAGAAGTTATGGTGCCCAATTGCCTTATCTGCGCATATCGCCAAACGAATTTGGAAAAATGATTTTTGGGTGTCCACGAGCCCGCCAATTTCAGGAGTCGGCAAATGTAGAAAAACATGCTTTTAGAAAAATGGTTTTGGGTGTCCGTGGCCGCGTCGTTTCTGGAGTCAGCAAATGCGGAAGGGGAAAATGTTTTGGGATGCCCATCGCCCCACTATTTTTGGAACCAGCAAATGTGGAACTATTTTCAGTATACAAAACTATATCTATATATGTATGATTTGATTTTTGGCTCATGTTTGAGATGTCATAGTATATTTACCACCTGTGGATAATGTGGAAAGATTGAGCAAATTTCTTGCATTGCATGTTCTCCCTCCCATACAAAACAAAATAGTTCAAAAGTAAGAAAATATACAAGACAAGTCGCAAGTCGACTTCCTTCAAAAATGTGCTCCTTGTTACACTAGCATAAAACTGACATCCAATTACAATACAACCTTAGTTTAGAACACAAAAAGATTTCAACAAAAGGTTTCACACTCCAAAAGAGTTTTCTTCTTCTCAAGAGATCACATAGGAGATGCTTAGTTTTCATTTCCTAAAATTGGTTAGCTTCGAGGTGAGCAAAAGCTCAGTAGGTAATGAATTTAACAAGTTATATAATTAATTGATATCGGGAATGTTCAAGTGAACAGGTTTTGGGAGGCGTTTTCCCATGGCGGTATATATTGCTCCTATCATGTGCTACCTAAGCACAGGAAAAACACTACTTTTAATAATATATATATATGATTTGTATAAAGAATCATATGGTGGAATTACAGCTGCTTTTAACTACAAAGCCACTCCAACATTATTATGGAAAGATGGAAAGCCAATCCAACAGTTCTGAGTAATTCAAGTTTGGGGCATTCATATTCTTTCAGTAACAAAATAAATTACACATGAAGATCTAAAATGTAATAGCTGATGGGCATTCACATTCAGTCAGTAAGAAAAATTATTACATATCAAAATCTTTAATGTAAGCAATTAGCAGAATAGCTGATGCATACCCAGCTCACCTCATGGTCTGCAGCAAATCAACCCCTGGTCTCATAAGATCCATCCCATAACCAACCCATGGTCTTACCTCATTCTTAGTCATTAACATATATTTTTTCATATTTTCCTTACACATTGAAGGTTTTGCACACAGTTGGAAGCTGTTACCCAAAACCAAAAGGATGAAAACAATCCGAAGGAAAAACACCAGCAACAATGATTGCAAAACTAGTTCAATTGGAGCTTAGTTTAGTCTAATTTACGTTGTACTGACAGATATGACAGATAAATTGCAATGAACTACAGGGAGGATGTAAATGCAGTTTAAAATTAGATATATCCAATGAAAATTGTTGTTGGCTGGTGAATATTCATGAAATTGTAAAAAACAAAGAGATGCAAACATAGTAAACAAAGAATTAAACATGAAAAGCACCTAAAACATATACTGCAATTTGCAGCCTGGCTAGGGTTTTGGCGACAACCATCGCATGGGACAATAGGTAACCAACCTGTTATGGGATGGGATGCACCCACAAACTCATTCAACTAATTAAAATACTATTGAACATAGGATTGATGTAAGATTATGAAATCAAAGATACTAATCTATTAATTGCATCATTCAACATTGTCTCTCAAAATTTTGATTGAATAGATTGAATCAAAAAACTAGGATTGGATCCCCATATGAACATTTCACACCACTAAACCTAACAGAGGAAGGCATCCAACAGGGCACCATTTTCATAATCACATTATCCATCAACACTGCGATCAAAGTCGCATCTTCTTTTGGCAGATCAAGTTGTTCCACCATCTCCCAAGCTATTGAGAGGGTCGTATCCGCATCAACATTAAACATGAACTCAATTTTCGTCACCTGACCACCACACGTGTCAGCAATGCGTAACGTTAAAGAAATGGAGTTTTCATCGACTCTTTCTCCTCTCAATCTGAATTCACTTTTCTCGTTGGATATTTTGAATTCCAGAACCGAAACCAGATCAGGAGTGTCATTGACGCACGTTGTAAAAGCGCATATTTCAAAGAATGGGTCTTTCAAGAGTTCCGCTGCTGAAAACATTGTAGATACGGGAAAAATACATTTTTCTATGAAGTCCTTGACCTGTATGTCCTTCACTTTGGCGAGCAATGCTTGAGTTTTACCATCACTGTAACTGTATGGATATTCAGAAGTAACCAATTCAAGCATACACAATCCGAATGAATGTATATCAACAACAGGGCTATATTGTATTTCTTCCCCATCGAGCTCTGGGGTTTGCAACATGGTAGTTGGTAACCCTATATATCCAATTTTAACTTGTCCAGAGTTTCCATTGACAAAAATATTTTGACAAGTCAAATCACCATGAACAATAGGCAGATCACGAGTATGGAGATAGCACAAACCTTGAAGAATCTGCCGAGCCCAGTTCTTGATGGCGATGATATCAACACTCCTATGTTTCTGGCTGTACAGCCTCAAACTCCCAGAAGTGAAGAACTCAGAAATCATGTTGATAGTTTTGCTTTGATGATCCACCCAAGAGCTGCATGACTTGATGATGTTCTTGTGTTTCAATGGCTTCAGCAACGTACTCAATCTGCGCATGTGTTCCTCAGACTGAAACGAATCGTCAACAGTGACTTTGTTCCAAGTGACTTCCATTCCATCAACTAAATCAAAGCCTTCATAGACCGTGTTTCGTGGTCCTCTATCCAATACTTCATTGTACCTCAAGTAACGACCGCTGGGGGATTTTTCTGCAACGTCATCGTCATCATAATCATCGGATTCATTCAATAAGAAACCAGAACAACAAGAAGAACTCATGGCGATAGATTAACAAGAAAACAAAAAACCCTTCTGATTATTTAAAAGAACCAAACAGATTAAGAGGGAAGGTGGACGTAGATTTGTAATAGCTGAGAATGAAGAATCAAAGGTGTTCGGAAAAAGCCTCAGATGCAGCCAAAAAAGAATCGAAAGCAGGTAGAAACCAAGATGAACAGAGTAGTAGGCATTGGGCGTAAGTAGTAGTCATGATGAAAGCTTGGATGAAGCAACAAGAGGAAGAGGAAGATTGTATGTATGAGGAGATAATCAAAGAAGAGGACTAGTGTTGATAATTGATGGAATGTTATTATTATATAGTGTTTGTTATAGGTAGGTAAACGTATATGGAGTGGGATTCGGAGTAGAGAAACATAGTTCAACTAGAAAACCGAATCCTAAAAGTGTTCCAATATTTAGGACGACCTCAAACACACACACGGCTTTTTCTTCCTCTTATCGCCTGCTGCCCACTCATTTTTGATCGACTACTAGTCACGCCCGCCAACCATTGTCTTGTAAAAAACTCATTACACAAATAAATAAATAAAGGTAATTATTCAGTAATCTCGGAATATGAATACGTGATATTCTATAGTAGTATAATTGGTAGAGAAGGTGAGTAGGTAGAGTATTGTGTTAAATGATTGGGAAATATGAGGGGATATACTGAATGATGATTGATTAGAGAGTACAGACATACAGTATTCCAGAAATATTAAGGGTCCGTTTGGGAAGGGCTTTTCCGGGCTTTTTTGGCTATTTTAGCCATAAAAGACAAAATAGGCTATTTTAGCCACAAAAAACAAAACATCACATCCAACCCATAATCATTACATTCTTGTCTCACAAAAAAAGTCAAAAAAGTCAAAAAGCCAAAAAGCACTTCCTAAACCAAGCTTTTTAGCCTAAGCTAAAATAACCAAAAAAGTCAAAAAGCCAAAAAGCTAAAAAGCCAACTACTTCCCAAACGGAGGCTTAATAATTTCCCAATAAATAAAAGTAACATATTATACTAACCTGATGAAATTATAGTTAGATTTTATATTTGCGAGGTTTTAATAAAATTAGATTAATTTTTTGTAAAAATTATTTTTAATAGTTTTAGTGGAGGTGATAAAATTGTAGTATTATTCTTAAATATTGTGTTTGGTTTGGTTTTGAGAGAGTAGTTTTTAAAAATTATTTTGGGAAGAGAGTTTAAAAAAAAAATTAGTTTGTTTGGTTGTGTATTTTGAAAATAGTTTTGGAGTTTGGAAGTTTGGAATGATTTGATATTTTATTGTAATTGAGTAGATATGTGTGAGAGAAAAAGTGATTGAGAATGAGAGATGAGAGAGAAAAAGTGATTGATTGATATATAAGAAAGAGAAAGTGATTCTGGAAACTATTTTGAAAAAATTACAAACCAAACAAGTTTTTTAAAAAAAATTTCCCAAAACCACTCTACAAAACCAAACCAAACATACCTTTTATGTTTAGATATTTATTGATATCATATAACACAATTACTTATTTTCTTTCCTAACGAATTTTTAGCCGATGTTGTTATTTCCTTAATGATGTGCATTATTATGTTGTCATAATGAGGTGTGTTATTCAATCATAAAATATGAGTATTTAGATGCATGTCATATTGGGAGACAAGGATAAGGGAAAATTACATTATACCCCTCGACTATTATTTCGTATTGTTTTATTCTTTCAACTAAAAATTATATTTAACCCCTTTTATTTATTTATTGTTTTTTTCAATTTGGACTTGAATAACAAAAATACCCTTCAACTTTACCTTATTGAACTATCACTCAATATTACTCTACTCCCTCAACTAAAAAATAAAAATAAAAATAAAAAATTAGATTTTAAAACTAAAATAAAGTTTTTGAGTTCTTTTCATATATTTTTTTTGTATTCTTTTATTTTCAGTTAACTTTTTTCATATTTTTGTCAATTTTTTAAAGTTTTTAAATGCATCTATAAAGTAAATATTTATGAAGAATTTTTTTAAAAAATAAATGGTATATTTTTGTAATTTTTGTCTTTAGTGAACTATTTTCAAATTTATTTATAAATATTTACTTTTTAGACGCATCTACTATAGATCCAACCAAAAAAAAAATGAAAGTCGACTAAAGTAAAAAATATGAAAGAAAACCCCTAAAAAATAGTTTTTAAAAACAAATATACTGATAATATCATATTAGACATTCCATTCGAGATGTCATGTGTAAGTCATAGGTCATTTTTTCATCTATTTAACAGACATTAACAAAATGTTTACATTGATATAACTTTATAATTCAGAATGCCAAAATGTATCATTTTTTTAGTTCATGGGATAAAATAATATTGAGTGAATACTTCAAGAGGGTAAAGTGTAATTTATCGTATTAATGAAAAGGTGTTTTCATCATAAAGGTAAGGGGGTCAAGCGTTACGATTTTTAGTTGAGGAAGATAAAGTGATACTAATAGTTAAATGAGGTAAAATATAATTTATCCTAAAAATAATGAAGGATAAAAAATATTTAAGTTAAAAAATAAAATAAAATAAATTGATATCATCATTTTGATTTGAATCAAAGTATAATAAACTTTATATTCAAAATGAAATGGTATAATTAAGTCAAAATTATAAAATTAGTTATTTTTTTATGATCCCTTGTGCAAAAGTTATGTGAGTATTAAGAAAAGTGTAATTTTTGTTAGGTGACTTTCTTTCAAATTCACATCTTAATGTGAGAAAATTTGAAGGGTCCATAGAGATTATCACAGATCCTGTTTCAATAATTCAAACCATTTATTTTGTAGGCTCTCAATGTATATGAATCATGAAAAAAATTAAATCGATCTGATAATCATAACCCTTTTTATTTTACCGTGTTTATCTCCAAAAAATCAACCATTCATTAATAAAAATATTATGATTATCGAATCGATTCAAGTTCTTTCATGGATGATATTTACAGAGAATCTTACAATATAAACTGTTCAACTCATCAAAACTGTTTGAATCCTTCTTTCTTCTTCTTGAAACCCTAGATTTCATAAACTCTAGGAAGGAGAAGAAGGAAAAAAAAAAAAAAAAAAGTCACGACAGAGGGGGTTTTTGAGAATTCCAAATCTAAAAACCCTAAATCTGAAATCTAGGATTTTGGAAAAGAGAAAGAAGGGTTGCAACAGCGAGAGGAGGGATCACGGCTAGGGTTGTGCAAAATACTGCTCAATCCACTTTGATTCGTCCACCTCTCGCTGGTTAGTTTGATCCTCAGTTTCAAATTTATAATTCGCTTTCACTCCACTCCGCTATAGTTAATACATATATTTTTTTTACCTAACGAATATCAAAGTAAAAAATTAATGTGAGAATTTTTTTTTTTTCCCCAATAGATTGGAGAATATTTACATTATGAGAAATATTTACACCAACAAACAAACAGAGCACTAGTTTACAATAGCTAGAAAATCAATAAAGTCTAACAACCAATCCACCAAGTCAAGTCCAACAACCATTACTAATCACATGCAACCCCCATAATGGGGGAGAAACAAACTAACCACAAAGGGTATCAAACTCCTCTCTATAAGAGTTGAACCCGAGACCTCACACTACAAAGGGTGTTACCCAATCACTACACCAAATACCCTAGTTAAGCAATTTAAAGAGCTAAATTCGTGCATAAATAATGGGTGTAATTCTTAGTCTAAAAATTCTACACAGAATCATAAACTTGAAAAATCAAGAAAATATAATAAATGGATGAATTTGAAGTTGAAATTTTTATAGTAACTTAATTAAATATTGAATCTCATAAGAGAGAGAGAGAGAGAGAGAGAGAGAGAGAGAGAGTCAAAACAAGTCTTTCCAGTCATTTTTCAAGCCATATTTAGAAGTGAGACACTTCCTAATTTTTCTTGATCTATATTAAGTAGAATCACTCTTAACAGTGGATTTGAGCATGCAACAACTAAGTTATATGACATCAAGAATCACCTTGTCACAACTCAAATGTTAGTCTTACAAGTCTGGGAATGGGTGACTAGTATAACAATTCTGTATTCCTTATAGACAGCTTAAGCACCAGCTTCCAACCTAGCATATACATTTGCACTGTCAAATAACCACAATTCAGAGAATTTACATGCTAATTCAAGTAAAACACAACGGGATGACATCATATGATTGTCTACAGTAAGTTTATAAGTGAGTGAAAGTTCATATGGTTTCTTACCAAACTAATTACAAACAATGGGGTGATTAATATGAGCTTAAAAACTCTGTACAAAATAAATACAAGTCTAATGTTACCTCAACAATCAAATCAGCGGTAACTGCTTGAAATTGGTAACATTATAGTATGAACTTTCTTCAAAATTCTGTGAGAAGGGAACATATATTATTCACTAGGCCTTCCAAAACTAGGTGTAAAAATCTGGCCAATTGCTTCAAGGGCAGAAATGTCCCAACTCTCAGCATGCCTAACAATCTGTGAAATGTATATTAGCAATCACCCAAATGCAAGTGAATGTGTATCTCAAAAATCACACATTTTGTAGGAGAACAAACACTGAAGCAAAAATGAATTCGTATTTCTTACTTTGAATTTGTCATCTAAATCATATATCGTGCTTCCATCAACTGAAATGAGTGGCCTCCATGGAAGTCTGAGATAAGTCCTGAAAGTTGAATAGGACAAAGAACAAATATCAAACCAGATGCCTTGACAACTGGTAATAAATACAAATATTTACAAATTCAATAATCAATAAAGATTTGTACTACAACATTGGAATATTCTCCCAATTGCACTAGGGAGGTCAGCAACTAACCAATTGCAACAATTTTTGTGTGTGTGTGGATGGTGGGTGGGGTGGCACTGCACCTTTATGCGTAATGTCTTATTCGTACAATGTCCAACCTAAGCATGGAAAAAGGTAGGGTTTCATTGGTTGCCTTAAAAAACAAAAGTAGAGTTAGACTAACGTAACAAACAGAGAGTGTATACTTTATTTATAATAATAATAATAATTGTAAAAACCTTTGTCAAACCACTTTGAAACATGAATCATGAGAACATTCCCACAGAAGTTAGGGTGCTCTTTTAACAGATGCATTTTACTGAAATCACCTGCTGGTGAGATATCGGTATGCACCTCACATGGTTGACAATGAATACAGAAAAGCTAGGAAGTTTGAGAGTGGACTTCGAGGGCCAATACAAGATCAGGTTAATTTGCTCAACATGCCGACGTATGCTAGAGTGTTAGATAAAGCCATCCTTACAGAAGCCAACCTGAACAGAAGTCAAGGTTCGGGGAAGAATCAGAAGAAGAGGCAGACCTATGACAATCGCGAAGAAGAGGCAGACCCGAATGATGCCGAGGAGAAGACGAGGGAGGATAGTCCCGATAACACGAATCAGGAAGGTGGCACCAGGCCGACATGTACAAGTTGCGGGAAGCTACATTTCGGAGTTTGTCTTCGGGCAACAGGAGCATGTTTTGGATGCGGTAAGAGAGGTCATCATATTAAGGATTGTTCCAAGGTAAAGGCTAGAGATGATAAGAAGAGATGAGAACTTGACATCCGGAGCCGTTTTGGGAACAAGGTAAGTGAAGTTTGGGGACTAAACTTCTTTAAGGGGGGAAGGATGTAACAACCCACATTAATGTCCTAGTCATGTTTGCATGCATTTGTATGTTTTGCCATGTTAAGTTGCTATAACAACCCATATTCATGTCATGGTCATGTTCATGTTCATTTACATAACTTTGTCTTGTTAAGTTTGCATTCATGAATCTTGTCTCGTTTGCTTAAGTGTTGCTTGCATGCTTTGTTCATTCCTTGGTGTCTCAAGCCTAAGTTACGTTAAGCCTAGGTCATGCCAAGCCTAGGTTGTGTTACGCCTAGATCATTCCAAGCCGAGGTCATCTTCAGTCCAGAATTATCTTGGAACCACTTTGTTCGACCTCCACTTTCGCCCTGACATATTGGCCGAGATGTCATTATCTAGGCCGAGGTGTTCATCACCAAGGCCAAGATGTGTACTATCTAGGCCGCGATGTTACCTTTGCACCTAAGTGATCTTGTCCTGGAGTGGTATGACCTAGTCCGAGGTGTGGCACATCTAGGCCAAGGTGTGGCACAGCTTAGTCAAGTGTTGTCCTTCCTAGCCGATATCATTATTCCCCTACTTGCCGATGCCTTGTTCTTAGCCGAGATCATTACCTGCCAGAGTGCCTATGCCATCTTGCTTGTTGAACACACTTTGTCATAGTCTTGTCTTTTCACTCAGTCACATTTTGAGGAGAATCAACCCGGTTGTGCCACGTGTCCCCGCTGAGTGTTAAGTCAGCCAGCAGACCTAGAAATGTATCATTTTGCTATATGTCTTTGTTCTTGAGGAGAGAGAAGCTCTAGAAGAGGGAGAAGAAGTTCTTGAGGGAGGGAGTAGACTTCCAAGCTTGATCTTTGGAGTTTGATCCGTTAAATTCGAGTTTTAAGGTTAGAATCTTAAACTACTCTTGTTGTTCTTATTGATCATCTAGCTGCATTGCATGATCGAACCTGATTTGCAAACCATGCATCGATTTAAAGTTTGGTTTTAGAAAGAGAAAGTAATATTCATGTGTTCTTGAATAAAAGCCTTGTTTGATCTGAGAGCTTGCATCGAGATTCATGTTTTTTTTGTGTTTGTTCTCATAAAATCTTCGTATATGGGTACCTAGGTCCATGTTTTTGAATTCATAGCATGAAATCTCAGATTTTGTAATGATAAGTTATGATCTTTGCATCCATGTTCTTCATGTTCATGTTCTTCATGCTCTTGTTCTTCACGGGTGGAAACCCAGATCTCCAGACCTCACTTCCCTAAGTGTAGTCGCCGAGATCGCTCTTAACTAGACCTCACACTTAGGCCAAGCATCGTATCTCACCTTGGCCTACCTTGCATGATTACTTACACCTTTAGTTTGTCTTGTGCGCACCTCGGCATGCAACCGCACGCCGAAGCCTAGGTGGCCACACCTCGGCCAGGAGGAGTGGGACCTCGGCAAAGACCTGGTTGGTACCCAACATGTCTTCCTGACATGTAAAACAATGTTTTGACTTCCAGCATGTTTTTCCCTAGATGTTTCCCAGCATTTTTTCCCGAGATCATTTGCATGCATGTAAGACTTGTTTCGAGAAGTGCATTCAGTAGACTTTGCCATGTGTTTGTAGGACTTGGACCTTTGCCTTGATCCCGACGTCCCAAGAACTATGTGAGTGGTATTTTTAATAAAGCTATGTTATAAGGTTTTGATAAAGTTTTGCTTTGTTTTGATAAAAGTATTTGTTAAGCATGAATGATATCCCTATTTTATGTATCAAGTATAAGCTTTGTTTTGGATGACATTCTTGGAACCGTCCTTTCGTGTTAGGGGACGCTAAGCCTAAGTAACACCGTCCTTTCGTGTTAGGGGACGTTAAGCCTAAGTTACACCGTCCTTTCGTGTTAGGGGACGTTAAGCCCAGGTAACATAGTCCGTACGTGCCAGGGGACTTTAAGCATTTGTGGCACAAGTCCTTCCGTGCTAGGGGACTTTAAGCCTATGTAGCATAGTCCTTCCGTGCTAGGGGACTTTAAGCCTAGGTAGCACCGTCCTTTCGTGCTAGGGGACGTTAAGCCTAAGTAGCACCCTTGTTAAGATATCGGCCACCAACGGACTATGAACGGGTGTGCTCGATGCCGAGGTTATGCTTTTGTTTTGCCCGGAATGTCATCACCCCATGTTTTAAGTTGACGTATGTTAAGTAAGTAAGTTTTGAAAGACCAAGGTTCGATTGATGTTTTATTTCAAGCCAAGCTAAGCTATGTTATGTATGGTTTTGACAAAGATATACTATGTATTGTTTGAAAAGGATCTCAGGTATCATTCATTTAACCCCTTTATTACTTGTACCATTCACTGAGTATCCAAGCTCACCCTTCCCAAGTATGTATGTAGGTAACAAGCAAGAAGTTGGCTACGCCGAGATGTGTGTTTTGTATGCATGTTATGTCGGCAGTGAGGATGTCGGCAATTTTGAAGCTTATGTATTTTGAACATGTCAGCTTAAGAAGCCTTTTATCAAGATGTAATATATATTTTGTACTTCATTTATTTTGGTTGTATTCAAGTTTTAAAGCTATGTAAAGATGTATGCCATTCAATTTGACTTATGCACAACTCTTATGGACTAATTAGATTTGTATGTATTGCTTCCGCACATGTTAGCCCCATATGTAATACTCTAATTGTGTGTGAATTTTAAAAGTTGGCCTTCGGTAACCTCGGATTACTGGCCATCATGGCACCATCCTACTAGGGGCGGTTTGGGGTCGTGACACTTCCCTTCATGCACCATCAGTATATCTCTCAGACCATTAGCTTGTTTTAAGTAATTTCATTAAGGTATAGATGCTTTATTTAAGAACATCACATAGAAGAGCCAAGACTACATTAACTTAGCACCTTGCTCCCCCTAAAACGTGGAAAAAGAACCTAAACAACATGAAGCTGATCTCAAATTGCAAAATAAACACTAGATTAGATTGAGCACCTTAGTTTCCAGGTTGCCAATACAAAACTTGCTTCAGAAGTGCTACCCTGCATATGAAGTCACATTACTAAGCATTACCAACAAAGTAATGAATCTATTCATAGCTAATACCAGATTTCATAAATAAGATGATGCACACACAAAGAGGATGAGCAACAAAGAAGTAAATTGGAAGAGACCTACTTTATAAATAATAGGAGCGTACATGTCATAATTACAATACAAGGAATGGACCGCAAAAAGAACCTCTGAACAAGAACAAAAGGCAATGGGATAATTTTCCTTTTTTTCTCAATTCAATTCCCCAAAGAAAACCTCTCTTTCTCTTTAAAAATAACTAGCCTATCACCCGTGCTATGCACGGGATAATTATAGATATTTATATTTGTTTTAATTTTTTTTAATATATAAATTATGTTTTTTAAGATTTTTTATAAAAATAATTTAACAATCTTATCACTAATCATAGTGTACACGAGAAATTAAAAAGGCTACTGCAGTAACTATGCACGGGCTGTATCTATAATTATTTATATGAGGGGATTTAAAATGCTAATCAGGGATTTTGACCAAATCAATAAATGCAGGCATGCGGATTGAAAAAAGTTAATAAATGTTGATCAGGGGATTTTGACCAAATCAATAAATGCTGAAATTTTTTTTTTTATATCAAAAATTTAGAAAATTAAGATTGAGAGATTCGAGCTCCCACAAGGCTTGGGGTTTAGAAACTCCCTTTTCCTTAATATATTTACAATTATCTATATATATGAATTCTTAATGCATTAAAGTGTTATTATGAGGGATAATAATCATGTGTTGGGACTTTTCAAGGAATTTATATGTGTTAGATTTCAAAGAATTTTTTTTATGCTTGTTCTTAATGCATTAAAGTGTTATTATGAGGGATAATAATCATGTGTTGGGACTTTTCAAGGAATTTATATGTGTTAGATTTCAAAGAATTTTTTTTATGCTTGTTCTTAATGCATTAAAGTGTTATTATGAGGGATAATAATCATGTGTTGGGACTTTTCAAGGAATTTATATGTGTTAGATTTCAAAGAATTTTTTTTATGCTTGTTCTTAATGCATTAAAGTGTTATTATGCGAGTAATGCATTAAAGTGTTATTATGAGAGTAAGACTTGGGGGTTGGGAGAAGATAATAAATGCTAAGGTTCTTTTTTTTTTTTTAAATCAAAAAATCAAGAAATTTAGATTGGGAGATTGGAGCTCCCACAAGGCTTGGGGTTAAAAACCCCCTTTTGCTTAATATATAGTATAGATATGAATTATTCTCTTCCATTCCATATATGGTTGTCCATTTTGTCATGTAATGTGCATTGAGTTGATCCTAGGCTGACTATGTTGTCAACCAAGGAACTTGGACTCAAATAGAAATTAAATTGATAATAAAGAGGGGAAAGTGAAGCAACCCATGGACTCCAAACCAATCACATGGGACAAAATCAATGCTATGCCAGAACTGCAGGGTTTATAGACAACGAGAGGGCTCAATTGACAAAGTGGTAGGTATTGTTTGTTATGCTAGTTGCATCACCCAATTTCCTGTCACAAATAAACCCTTTTCCCTTTTCTTTTTCCCTATGTTTCTTTCAAGTTTCAGTTTATATTGTGGTTTCAGGCAAGGCAGGACAAGTTCTCAATCAGCTGATTTAGCTGCCTTTAGCTTAATTAGTACCCAAACCCCAAACCATTGCAAGAAGATTGTTTATTTTTAAGTTTTTCCTATCCTTTCAGCCATTGAAAAGGACAAAAATGTATAATGATAGAGCTTATTATTTATTGGTATGGCAAACTTCTTGCGCATTAGTAAGTTGGAGAACTTGTCCTAAATTTTATGAGATGATTACTTCAATTGCAGGTTTGGAACTTTGGTGAATTTGATCCTTTTCTGAAAAATTTTCAAGAAGTACAGTAATTTAACCATCTTTATTTATCAGAAGAAGGTAAACGGACTGAGCAAAAAGGCCACTCAAAGAGTCATTCAACCATAAGATCTAATGTACCACACTAGAAGAAACTTAGGAATCACGTTTTGGTGGCCATTTACTTTTTCTCATAAAAAAAATGCCGTCCATTGGAGTGTTACAGGCCTTACGGCCTATTATTTTAGATAGGATAATATTCTCAAACATAAATATACAGCATGTATAATGTGATATATGAAGTGACTTTCATTAAAAACTTCGAAAGTTTTGGAGTTCCTCGAACATAAAACAGGAATATTTAGGTCCAAACACAGTCTTAACTCATAAATTAGTTCCTACGATCCTAGATCCAAACAGTCTTAAAGTGACACCAACAACAGTTCATAGTACCCTCCTAGATTATCTCTGTCAATAAGAGCAAGTTCCGCAGCCATCTCACTCAACCTCCAATCATTGTTGTCAAAATTAATTAGGTCAGGAGCATCTATTTCCCTACTCACATCCAATTTCCAGTAACTTTCTAATAACATCGACATTCAGATTTCACCAGACTATAATATGTAAATAATTTTAATTATGCATTAAAAAAGTTTCAAGTTGTGATTAACAAAGATTTTATTGTTTAACCTATGTACCCTAGTCTACTCTCACTTCTTGTGAACAAACTCAATATATGCTAATTTCTTTTGCAACCAGTAACAATAACATTGGCAAAGTACTTGAACTGAAAACTTCTATAAATGAGGGGAATCAATTATAATTTATAAGTTGCAATTTATATGCTAGTATATTGAATCAGCTAAATCAAGGGAATGTAAGCACAAAAAGGAAGGCACAACCAGATCTATCATGCCACCCATTCCCCACAACCCCCCCACCCCCCACATCAGCTTTCCATTAGAAATATAAGAGGCATTGATAATATAATATAATCCTTCAACCAGACAAGGATGACTAAAAGACCCATTTTCAACCTCTACCTCAAATTGAGGCGATTACTCCATATCAAGATGTTTTGAGTATGCTAAAATCAAAATGCTATTTATGAAGCTACCTAGTACCTTCTCAATCTTTTGTAATGCAATTGATGGACAATCGAAGAAAGGTACAAGCAATTTCAAGTTGCGTGAATACACCTCTGTACCTGGATTGCCAAGGAACATTAACTTGGTTGATTCTACTCTTATTTAGAGAAAAATTCAAACTTTTATATGCCACATAAGACAAAAAAGCTCACAATATTAAGAGCTACACAAAATAGTAAGAAAATAACCACACAATAAAACGAAAGCAAAACATTTTCAAATAATGATAATAGTACCAGCCTGAAGGTGCTGTCGGACGAACTGGCAATCTATCTCAATGTGTTTGGAGCGGTCATGAAAGACAGAATTATGCGCAATCTAAACTGCATTCTGATTGTCACAGTACAACGAGGTAGGAGAAGAAAGCAACACACCCATATTAGAAAGAAGCCAGTGAAGCCACACAATCGTACAAGTATTATGAGCCATAGCACGTTATTCAACTTCAACAGTGAAGCAAGCAACAACTGACTGCTTCTTGCTTTTCCAAGAGATGAGAGAATCACCAAGGAAAACACAAAAAATGGAGGTAGACTTGCGATCAGAAATATCTCCAGCCTAATCAGCATCAACATCAACATAAGCACGAAGGGTGAAATTGGAGGAAGAGGAGAGAAGCAAACATTGAAGCAAAGTACCACAAATGTATCAAAGAGTGCATAAGAGAGCAGCCCAATGAGTGGAGCTGGGAGCAGAAACAAACTGGCTGAGAATGTGAACAACATAGGAAATGTCTAGACAAGTCACAGTATGATAAACCAAACAACCAACAAGCTCATGATAGGGAGTGGGATCATCAAGCGGTACACCATCCCAAGCAAGGAACTCAGCATGGAACTCAATCGGAGTATCAACAACCTTATCATCTATGAGATGAACATGAAAGAGGATGTCAGTAGCATACTTAGTTTGGGACAAAAGATACCCTGTAGGGGAGGAAGCCACTTCAATACCAAGGATACTTAGAGATGACACTTCAAATATAACATAACATCTCAAAAACTAGCTAATATAGCATAACATCACCATAGGGGAGGAAGCCACTTCATCCAAACAAGTGTTGTAGCCATGTCGGACACAGTGGGGACATATATGAGACACACCAGGTGGTGTATCCCTTTATTTAATTACTTTGTTTTCAAGGGACACGGTAGGCACACTTCAGGGACAAGTCAACTAGTTTTTTTTCCCCTTTTCTGTAGTGCTTTTGATAGATGTTGAATGTTTATTACCTTTTGTTTAGATTTAAATACTTAATAGATCATCCATGAAAAAGATATAAACGATAAGTGTTAATTTTAAAGTGATGCTTTCTTCTTTATTTTTAATATCGAAATAGTGTTAATCTTCATCATGTCCCATGTCCATGTCTGAGCCTGAGTCCGTGTCCGTGTCCGTGTCCGTACTTTTTAGGTGAGTGTTATCATTAGTTCACCATTAATTGATACAGTATGTCTCCAGCACATTGTAGAAGGTTGATGGCCCTAGCAACTAAAGTGAAAGTGATTTAGCAATCACCCAAATGCAAGTGAATGTGTATCTCAAAAATCACACATTTTGTAGGAGAACAAACACTGAAGCAAAAATGAATTCGTATTTCTTACTTTGAATTTGTCATCTAAATCATATATCGTGCTTCCATCAACTGAAATGAGTGGCCTCCATGGAAGTCTGAGATAAGTCCTGAAAGTTGAATAGGACAAAGAACGAATATCAAACCAGATGCCTTGACAACTGGTAATAAATACAAATATTTACAAATTCAATAATCAATAAAGATTTCTACTACTTCAACAATGGAATATTCCCCCAATTGCACTAGGGAGGTCAGTAACTAACCGATTGCAACAGTTTTTGTGTGTGTGTGGATGGTGGGTGGGGCGGCACTGCACCTTTATGCGTAATGTCTTATTTGTACAATGTCCAACCTAAGCATGGAAAAAGGTAGGGTTTCATTGGTTGCCTTAAAAAACAAAAGTAGAGTTAGACTAAGGTAACTAGCAGATAGTGTATACTTTATTTATAATAATAATAATAATAATTGTAAAAACATTTGTCAAACCACTTAGAAACATGAATCATGAGAACATTCCCACAGAAGTTAGGGTGCTCTTTTAACAGATGCATTTTACTGAAATCACCTGCCGGTGAGATATCGGCAACGTATGGCTAGGCAGTTTCCCAAAAGCAACAAGCCACATCACTCTATAAATGCAATGAGAAATAGTAACGGTTCTCTAACTGTTCTGCATTAGTGTGTGTAAATAAAGTTAACCAAAGATTGTAAACCTGCAATTAGGAGTACTAACAAATAAAGGAATCAATTATCAAATTGATAGACACTATGATAAAGAGTAGGGTCGCAGCATACCTACAAAAAACTGAGGAAACGATGCAAATAGAAAACACAGAATAAAACTACAGTGCAACAGAGATTCTCACAGAGAAATGGAGTAAGAATATAGAACTCGATAAGGACTTACAAGTAGAAGCTGTAACTGTTACCAACATGAAAAACTTGTATTAACGGAAAATACGATCAAAGTAATTAGTGCTTGTGATGGCGAGTATGAAAAAGCCTGATGAGGGTCTAAGATCGTACATGGCGAATGTGGATTTGAAGAATGGGATGACAAAAAGAAGGGTTATCCTAGAGCTTATGGTGACTTGTGATGTTATGATAGCAAGCACAAAGTAAAGAAATGAACACTCAACAAGCTCTAAAATGGATTCATAAGAAGTCAGAATTTTTTTCCTAGCTAGAACTAGAAAAAACAAATGTTTGAGGATTGTACAATCATTCCACAAGAGAGTTCTAGAGCTGGATGTTCATGTTCATAGATCCGATGCTAAGAACTTGATTTTCTTGTGCACCAACTTCATGCAGGTTCATGTCAGTTATGTGTGGTGAAAATTATTTTGGAGGCCTGGGCAAATCAAAATCAAGAATCCTATGAAATCATAGGCAATTTTAGGTCGCTTACCAACAAGAGATTTCATTACTATCTCCGAAAATAGGCAATATAACTCTCACTTTATCAAGCAAAATTGATGTTCAATCAAAGAATTTTATGAACACATTTGTAGCAAATCTTAGATGTTTTGCTTAACAATAGCCATGTATATGAAATTAGAATCCTTTATAGCCAGCCTTCCCTTCATGCACCATCAGCATATCTCTCTTTCAGACCATTAGCTGTTTTAAGTAATTTCATTGAGGTATAGATGCTTTATTTCACATAGAAGAGCCAAGACTACATTAACTTAGCACCTTGTTCCGTGTAAAAAGAACCTAAACAACATGAAGCTGATCTCAAATTGCAAAATAAGCACTAGGTTAGATTGAGCACCTTAGTTTCCAGGTTGCCAATACAAAACTTGCTTCAGAAGTGCTACCCTGCATATGAAGTCACATTACTATGCATTACCAACAAAGTACTGAATCTATTCATAGCTAATACCAGATTTCATAAATAAGATGATGCACACACAAAGAGGATGAGCAACAAAGAAGTAAATTGGAAGAGACCTTTATAAATAATAGGAGCGTACATGTCATAATTACAATACAAGGAATGGACCTCAAAAAGAACCTCTGAACAAGAACAAAAGGCAATGGGATAATTTTCCTTTTTTTCTCAATTCAATTCCCCAAAGAAAACCTCTCTTTCTCTTTAAAAATAATATGAATTATTCTCTTCCATTCCATATATGGTTGTCCATTTTGTCATGTAATGTGCATTGAGTCGATCCTAGGCTGACTATGTTGTCAACCAAGGAACTTGGACTCAAATAGAAATTAAATTGATAATAAAGAGGGGAAAGTGAAGCAACCCATGGACTCCAAACCACTCACATGGGACAAAATCAATGCTATACCAGAACTGCAGGGTTTATAGACAACGAGAGGGCTCACTTGACAAAGTGGTAAGTATTGTTTGTTATGCTAGTTGCATCACCCAATTTCCTGTCACAAATAAACCCTTTTCCCCTTTCTTTTTCCCTATGTTTCTTTCAAGTTTCAGTTTACATTGTGGCTTCAGGCAAGGCAAGACAAGTTCTCAATCAGTTGATTTAGCTGCCTTTAGCTTAATTAGTACCCAAACCCCAAACCATTGCAAGAAGATCATTTATTTTTAAGTTTTTCCTATCCTTTCAGCCATTGAAAAGGACAAAAATGTATAATGACAGAGCTTATTATTTATTGGTATGGCAAACTTCTTGCGCATTAGTAAGTTGGAGAACTTGTCCTAAATTTTATGAGATGATTACTTCAATTGCAGGTTTGGAAATTGGTGAATTTGATCCTTTTCTGAAGAATTTTCAAGAAGTACAGTAATTTAACCATCTTTATTTATCAGAAGAAGGTAAACGGACTGAGCAAAAAGGCCACTCAAAGAGTCATTCAACCATAAGATCTAATGTTCCACACTAGAAGAAACTTAGGAATCACATTTTGGTGGCCATTTACTTTTTCTCATAAAAAAAAATGCCATCCATTGGAGTGTTACAGGCCTTACGGCCTATTATTTTAGATAGGATAATATTCTCAAAACATAAATATACAGCATGTATCATGTGATATATGAAGCGACTTTCATTAAAAACTCTGATAGTTTTGGAGTTCCTCGAACATAAAACAGGAATATTTAGGTCCAAACACAGTCTTAACTCATAAATATTTAGTTCCTACGATCCTAGATCCAAACACAGTCTTAAAGTGACACCAACAACAGTTCATAGTACCCTCCTGGATTATCTCTGTCAATAAGAGCAAGTTCCGCAGCCAACTCACTCAACCTCCAATCATTGTTGTCAAAATTAATTAGGTCAGGAGCATCTATTTCCCTACTCACACCCAATTTCCAGGAACCTTCTAATAACATCGACATTCAGATTTCACCAGACTATAATATGTAAATAATTTTAATTATGCATTAAAAAAGTTTCAAGCTGTGATTAACAAAGATTTTATTGTTTAACCTATGTACCCTAGTATACTCTCACTTCTTGTGAACAAACTCAATATACGCTAATTTCTTTTGCAACCAGTAACACTAACATTGGCAAAGTACTTGAACGGAAAACTTCTATAAATGAGGGGAATCAATTATAATTTATAAGTTGCCGTTTATATGCTAGTATATTGAATGGAATCAGCTAAATCATGGGAATGTAAGCACAAAAAGGAAGGCACAACTAGATCTGTCATGATCATTTTGCCACCCATTCCCCCCCGCATCAGCTTTCCATTAGAAATATAAGAGGCATTGATAATATAATATAATCCTTCGACCAGACAAGGATGACTAAAAGACTCATTTTCAACCTCTACCTCAAATTGAGATGATTACTCCATATCAAGATGTTTTGAGTATGCTAAAATCAAAATGCAATTTATAAATAAAAGCTACCTTCTCAATCTTTTGTAATGCAATTGATGGACAATTGAAGAAAGGTACAAGCAATTTCAAGTTGCGTGAATACACCTTTGTACCTGGATTGCCAAGGAACATTAACTTGGTTGATTCTACTCGTATTTAGAGAAAAATTCAAACTTTTATATGCCACATAAGACAAAAAAGTTCACAATATTAAGTGCTACACAAAATAGTAAGAAAATAACCACACAATAAAACGAAAGCAAAACATTTTTAAATAATGATAATAGTACCAGCCTGAAGGTGCTGTCGGACAAACTAGCAGTCTATCTCAATGTGTTTGGAGCGGTCATGAAAGACAGAATTATGCGCAATCTAAACTGCATTCTAATTGTCACAGTACAACAAGGTAGGAGAAGAAAGCAACACGCCCATATTAGAAAGAAGCCAGTGAAGAATCGTACAAGTATTATGAGCCATAACACGATATTCAACTTCAACAGTGAAGCAAGCAACAACTGACTGCTTCTTACTTTTCCAAGAGATGAGAGAATCACAAAGGAAAACACAAAAAATGGAGGTAGACTTGCGATCAGAAATATCTCCAGCCTAATCAGCATCAGCATAAGCATAAACACGAAGGGTGAAATCGGAGGAAGCGGAGAGAAGCAAACATTGAAGCCAAGTACCACAAATGTATCAAAGAGTGCGTAAGAGAGCAGCCTAATGAGTGGAGCTGGGAGCAGAAACAAACTGGCTGAGAATGTGAACAACATAGGAAATGTCCGAACAAGTCACAGTAAGATAAAGCAAACAACCAACAAACTCATGATTGGGAGTGGGATCATCAAGCGGTACACTATCCCAAGCATGGAACTCAGCATGCAACTCAACCGGAGTATCAACAACCTTATCATCTATGAGATGAACCTGAAAGACGATGTCAGTAGCATACTTAGTTTGGGACAAAAGATACCCCATAGGAGAGGAAGCCACTTCAATACCAAGGATACTTAGAGATGACACTTTAAAGATAACATAACATCTCAAAAACTAGCCAATATAGCATAGCATCCCTATAGGAGAGGAAGTCACTTCATCCACACTTCAAAACAAGTGTTGTAGCCATGTCAGACACAGTGGGGACACATATGAGACACACCAGGTGGTGTATCCCTTTATTTAATTACTTTGTTTTCAAGGGACACGGTAGGCACACGTCAGGGACACGTCAACTAGTTTTTTTCCCCCTTTTTTGTAGTGCTTTTGATAGGTGTTGAATGTTTATTACTTTTTGCTTAGATTTAAATACTTAATAGATCATCCATGAAAAAGATATAAACGATAAGTGTTAATTTTAAAATGATGCTTTCTTCTTTATTTTTAATATTGAATTAGTGTTAGTTTTTATGAATTTTGATTGTTTGTGAATGTAATATTAATCTAAATAACAAATGAAAATATATGAAAAAATATTTTATCGTCATGTCCCCTTTTTCTTGTTTTGTTACTCTCTCCAAACTCAAGTTGGTTAGTTCCTATCCCCCTTGAGTTTGCGGGGGGCTGTTAAAACCTACCATCACCTACTCCACCTACTACACCTACCACCACCTACTACCACCTACTACACACCTACCACTACCACCTACTACTACCTACTCCACTACATCTCCTATATAAGGAGCCCCTCACCATTTGTAATTTACAATATACATAAATCAATAATACATCAATTCTAACACTATTATCAATTTCATAATAAGGAAGATGAAACTAGACATTATCTATAGTATCATGTTTTCCACTGATTTTCTTCTTATACTCTCTTTTAAATTTTTATTCTTTGCATATATTGGAAAGTGTTCATTGGATTCTTTATTCTAGCTGTTTATGTACAAAGTGTAGTTATTATTATTGTTAAAACCTACTTCACCTACTCTCCTACACCTACCACACACACTCACCTACTTCACCTACTCTCCACCTACTCCTCACCTACTCCCAAATCCTCTCCTATATAATAGGAATCCTTGTAATATACACAACACATCAATCAATAATACATCAATTTTAACATGGTATCAGAGCTATAAGATTTAGGCCTATACTCTTTTTTTCTGGCAGGCGGCTAGCCGGCAACCTTGCCTTCGCTGCCCGTTGGCGTTTTTCTATACATACCTTCTCTCTCTCATCTAAGCTCGGGTTTTCACGATGATGCAACCCGCAACGAGCGTAGTTCAGCCACACCAGCAGAACCACCTTCAATACCAACAACAATCATGGATGATTAAGCAGCAGATGTATTACCACCAGCAACAACCCCCTCAGGCGGCTGCCACGGCGGTTCAACAACCCCAGTACTCGGCGTCCCAGCCCTCCAGCGCCGACGAGGTCCGCACTCTTTGGATCGGTGATCTCCAATACTAGATTGATGAACAGTATCTCATCAGCTGTTTCGCCCATACTGGCGAGGTGGTCTCTGCAACAGTGATCCGTAACAAGCAAACTAGTCAATCAGAGGGTTATGGCTTTATTGAGTTCGCAAATCATCCTGCTGCGGAAAGAGCGTTACAAACATATAATGGTACCCAGATGCCAAATATTGAGCAGAACTACAGACTGAACTGGGCATCCTTTGGTACGGGTAAAAAACGTCAAGATACTACCCATGACTACACCATATTTGTTGGAGATTTGGCATCTGATGTTACAGATGACATGCTGCAAGAGACTTTCAGACCCCACTACCCCTCAGTTAAGGGTGCAAAGGTTGTAACCGATAGGATGACCGGAAGGACTAAGGGCTATGGGTTTGTCAGGTTTGGAGATGAAAGCGAACAATTGCACACTACCCCAGGAATGATGATCATAAGCCCCACTTGCTTTTTTTTTTATCACCCACGAGCCTACTCACATGCACCACCCACTATCTCTTAAAATATTTTATCATTTTTTCCACCCAACACCTCATCATCATATATTTTCTCTATATTTTAATCTGTACACATATACCTATATATACATTGCTTTCTTTTACTTTATCTATCTATATATATATATATATATATTTATTTTGCTCCACCTTTTCCAGCGTGTTTCCATTCTCTTCCACTTTCTTTTCTTTTCTATCTATATATCTACATATTTTTATTTTATTATTTACCTCACCATACGAGCCCACAGATTCACCCACCTCTGCTTTTTTTAACTCTTTATTTTATTTTATTTCATTTCCCACACTGATGTTTTTCATATAATCCATCTACCAATATTTTTTATCTATTTTCTTTATCCCTTGTTTTCTTTCCTTTTATTTTTATTTTTACACAAACCAAACCACAATAAAAAAAAAAAAACAAAAAAAAAAACAAACAAAAAAAAAAAAAAAACCGTGGCATCATATGATTAAAACATATAGAAACCAACATAAATCGCATGGCATGTATGATTAAACATATAGAAACCAACACAGCACCAATACTGGAACGTCATATATATTGAATTCGAGAACTCGAAACAATAGCATTCCGATATTTATATTTGATTACTATTCTAATGAAGACTACTATGGATCACAAAAATTGGGCACATATTTATTATGAACAGTGTACAGCTTCTAATTTAATTTATCATAGGAATCTATTTGGCCACTTTCATGAGAAAAGATATATAATCTATTTTATGATTGTTATTCGAATTATGTGATTAAACAAAACAAATAGATCCATGATTTATTAAATTAAATAATAGAGTATCAAATAAAATCATACTTGATAAATTATATTCTAGAGTATGAAACATAATGCCTTTAGCACACTTATCTCTGCTCGCGCATCCTTATACATGCGCTGGAGCAGAGCCAGCTGGGCGTTTAACTGCTGCACCTCATTTGTTCTACTCTGCAGCCGGTACGGCAAGTTTGTGACTGCCGTCATGGTTTCCACACATGACTTCAATGTATACTGATTGGCCTCCACATCCGACTGCACTGCCATTCTTTGCTCCACAGACCGCATCGGAAAGTTCAACGGAGCAAACTCCGGGGCGCTTGGTTGAGGTTCCAGTGCCACCGCACCAGTTATCTCTCTTGTTGACTCGTTGAGGTCGGGAAAGAGGGTGAGCAGACCGCGGGAAGACGAAGCCATTTTCTGGGCAACAGTTGTTACAGAGTATTACAGAGTTTCTCTCTCCGACAACGAAGAATTTTTTTTCAGAGTTTTTTAGCGGGTTTTCTGCCTCAGCCTCCGCTTCGGTTTATAAAGACCATGACGAAGAGGCAGACACGCGCATCATGCGCCGCTCGGCGCTCGACGACACATTGGCACGCCTTTTTGATGGCACGCCTTTTATGGAATGGGCACACCTTTTGATGGCATGCCTTTTGACAGATTGGGCACACCTTTTGAGGGTGCGCCTTTTTCAACGGTCCGACATGACCCCATAAACTGTTCAGTGTTCTCTACAACGTTATGACACAACCATCCAGTGTCCTCTACCACGTTATGACACAACCATCCAGTGTCCTCTACAACGTTATGACACACCCATCCAGTGTCTTCACCAACGGTCTGACACGACCATACAGTGTCTCCTATCCTCTTTTATTTTTGTGTATTTTCTTGTTTTGTTACTCTCTCCAAACTCAAGTTGGTTAGTTCCTATCCCCCTTGAGTTTGCGAGGGACTGTTAAAACCTACTTCACCTACTCTCCTACACCTACCACACACACTCACCTACTTCACCTACTCTCCACCTACTCCTCACCTACTCCCAAATCCTCTCCTATATAATAGGAATCCTTGTAATATACACAACACATCAATCAATAATACATCAATTTTAACAATTATTATAAAAAGAACGGGTTGGACTATTAAGAATATCTTCGTCCTACGCTGAAAGTGTTAGGAAATGCTTCTTCAAGTGTTGGTTGAGTATCAAAGATCAACAGTTCAAAATCATAAAACTCATTTTTATATAATCCATAAGTGTCTAACACGGCTTTTTTTTTTTTGATTGGCAAAGTAAAATATTCATTAAAAACATGAAATTAAAGGAAAAAGGAAATGAAATGCACTGAGAGAGATTTAGAGAGTGCAAACTCACTTACTACTACAGCTC